AATTTTGAATATATGTATACTGATAAAATTTCCACTCCTTTCCATCTACCCCATTATACTTAGTCTGAATCTTCCAAAAATTAAAAAGAACTTTTTTCCTCCAGGAAAGCAAGAACAACAGAAGGGGAAAATGTGAAGCGTTTTGAAAATTCAAGGTAACTTGTAATACAAACCATATATAGTATGGCTTCAAAAGCTAGTAAATTCGGTAGACCTTTCCAGCCTTTCTCTCTTCCCGCCCCTCTAATCTGTTCGTTTGCCAATCAGACAAGAGCTTTCAAAAAATTCATTTCACAAATAGCTGTTCTTCTGCACTTTTACAACAAATCATAGAGCTTAAATTTACCAAACCTCGACTTTGCGGTGCACAAAATAAGAATTGAAATGGAAAAAAATCAACATCGAACATCACAGAATCCGTAATAATCCTATATGAAAAATTAACTGCTCTACTCTGTACAGCTTTTACTCCACAATCTTTGAAAAACAAAATAATTTGCTGGTAACCATAAAATTTTGAATTATTTTAAGATTTCCGCCTTATAAAGTAAGCATTTTATAAATCTTTAAGTCTGCTAGAACAGTGAATTCCGAAACAATGATAATGCCAAATAAATAAGTAACCACAAAATTTATCCTGGTTTCGATTCAAAAATCTCATCATTGAAAAAAGATTTGCTCATTTGGTATAAAACTTAGTCTTCAAATTTTAAGGGGATTTGATGGAACCCAATACTGGAAAAACCAGTGAAGTAAAGATTTGCACAAAGATATTAACGTTATTTCCAACTGAAAAAATGGATTTTCAGCAACTGCGTAGAACTTGCAAAAAAGTACAATAAAAGAACAAGCCAATATCGATAAATTAAGCCAGAACCAAAAGATTAAAAAAAATGAAAGCATCTTGATCAAAACCCATTGTCCCGAAAGAGGTACCAAATGCTGAACAGTAAGACAGTAAAACAGTATAATCTATTTTTTTGAAGTTTAATACCTGTAATGTGCACAGCCGGCAAAAAATATATCACTTTTCTGACTAAAAAAACCAAACGGCTTTTAATACAGGACCTTCTCAACGATACCCGCAGCAATAGTCTGCCCACCAGACCTCAGAGTCAATCGTCCTAAAGATCTGCACTGAGAGAAAGGTTCAATACAAATCGCTCGATCTGTTTCCACTTCAACTACTCCACTTGTATTTCTAGTTAGAAATCTAAATATAACTAAAATATACATTCTTGAAAAGAATAAGAGCTGCGAAAAGCTTCTAAATCATAAAGTTCCTAAAAGAATTCTAAATCAATCCACAAGAAACAAAAAAAAATCAGTGTTCGATGAAGCAGTAGAATCGTAAACCAAATTTGTCATAACCTCCTAATGGCTCCGAGAAAATTTATTTGTCCATAATTATAAGTACATTTTCTGCGTCTATTGTCCAGGAAAATAAAGAGACTAAAGTCTCAGTCTACCTTGGTCGCTTCCTGAGCACTTCACCGCTGGCTTTATTGAGAGTGGCTTCAAGACGAACAACAGTGCATGGTTCGCACAAAGAGTGTGCATATAAATCAGCTCTGGTCCCTTTCATTATCGGAATAACAATGTTAAAAACCACGAGTCGAACTACACACCTTTTCACAGGAACCAAGCATTCCTAAACAGGTGGAAAGAACTATTAGTTAATTTGTCAGGTTCCCAAAAATGAAATTGCTGCGAAATTTCCAAACTCATAGATTTCATAGATAATCAACATTTTAATATCAAATTAAAAGCACTTCCTTTGTCTATGCCCTCGTCAAAACCATGTAAGATTGAAACCCCCGACCACAAAAATCTAAAGAGCTCAACAAAGACAGTCTCTCTGTCGCTACGTTGAAAACACTGTTCTTCGATATAAAAAAACTCACGCAGATTCACGAATAGTTGATGCTCAGCTAGCTAAAAGCCCAGCGAGCTCAATGAGTAAGACAGAAAAATATATCTACGTTTCCCGAATTCTCCCGTTATGAAATATGTGCAATTATATGCCGCAAAAACTTCGTAACTAGAGATTACAACTAATATGTTTTGACTAACCTCGCCACCTCGACACAAAACTTGACCAACAGAAAAAGAATCAGGTTCGAATGAGTTCAGTGCTGTCAATGTAACTAAGGCATGCTCGCCAGAGTACGCTATACTATTTCCAGTATCATCAGTTCCATCCTTTGATAAACCTGACACACCATAAACGGTAGAAACCATGTTGGTTAAAATTCATGTTTAAATAAACGTCAGTCAAAAACAATAAGCACAGGAACAGAAAATGAATTCCCCCAATAGTCAATTACTTCGTTAAGGTGAAACAACAGATACAAGAAAATACTTTTAACGACTCCTGGATCTGCATTTGGCATTATATACACTTTTTCACCTATTTCAAGAGATCCCGCCTCTACTTTTACGCATATAGATACAGACGTCGCAGTACTTTTAAAAACGTCATTAATAACAGCTCTTAAAGGTCGATTTTCCATTCGAGCGGGCTCTTTCACTTCATCTAAAATTAAACGCAAAAATCTTTCGAGTTAATAAAATTTAATCTTAAATAAAATGAGAACTACTAACCAATAAGTTGTAGCAATGTTGGTCCTTTGTACCAAATATTAAGAGGATGTTCAGCAGGTGGTGGCTCCACCAGATTGATCCCACAAAGGCCAGAAACAGGAACAAAACGAACCTTTGAAAAACCTGCTTGCTTGCAAAGAAACGTTTTAAGAACAGCACACACCTCATCGTACCTTTGCTTTGACCAATCGACTGTGTCAAGCTTATTGACAGCGACCATAAGCTCCCCAACACCTTCAAAACTGAAGTTTTTTAACATTCAACTATGGACAAAAGCAAGACCTTACCATGAGCAGCCTAAATACTTTCAAACTTATGAAAAATAAAAGCATTTCATGCCAAAAATGAACATAGAAACCATTAGTGACTAAAACCTAGAGAACGAAGCAGCATAGCATGTTCTCGTGTTTGCCCACCCTGATCGAAACCAGTTTCAAACTCTCCTCGCGTTGCATTTGCTACCAAAAGACCAGCATCTGCCTGACCAGCACCTGGAACTCACAGCAAACAGCTAAATCACAAAACAGTTCGTAAATCCAATTTACCAGCAATCATGTTGTGAATGAAATCTTTATGTCCGGGTGCATCTAATATCACAATTTTTCTGTTTGGCGTTTCAAAAGAGGTTCGAGCTATGTCCATTGTGACACCTCTCTCACGCTCCTCCTAAAATTATTCCTAACTCTATAGAAACTCCAAATTAGACAGAAACAAAGTACAGCCTATAATGCTGAAACTTGGTTTACAACCTGTTGATTGAAATAAAACTAAGACACACTTGAGTTTCGTCGAGTACCCACGCAAATGCAAATGAAGCTTTTCCAGTTTTCATAGCTTCCTGTTTGTACTTGTGCATCGTTCGTTCGTCCACACAACCTAACTAAAAATCTTCGTTCGAAATAAAATCAATGCGCTCAAAACACGGATACTCCCAAAAAAGTCCAGAAAGCAAAAGTATTTTTTTAAGTATATACCATGTATAAAAGATGCCCCATAAGTGTACTTTTGCCAGCATCAACGTGACCAACTATGACAAAGTTAATTAGTGGTTTCGCATCTTTCGCCCTATACCGAATCCTAAAATTACCTAGATTACAATCATCAGTTAAAAAACATAAATAAAAAATTATTGAAGGACCACAGGATTTGCTGAGCTCTATGATAAATGAAAAAAAGCGAGTGAAGAGGAGACATAAGAATTCAAAAAAATTGTGTTACGAAGAAAAAAACAAGTGCAGCGAGAAGCTATCCCAAAAAACTCGCAATTATAATTATTTTAAAAAAATCCCTTCAGCCTTAAAGATTACTAACAATTAAACTAGCTAGAACTGTTTTACTAGAGTCAAATTTAGCCACTTTCACTGCTTGCCATTTCCAAGTCTCATTTTCCTCACCTGTAACAATCTCGTCAAACATCACTTTTACTAGCCAGTAAGTCTTGTCAAGCCACAACAGACTAGTGGAATGAAGATGTAATTGTCAATGTTGAATTTTTTCGACTACCTTCAGTAAACAGGTTTTAACACCACTGCAGTAATTTATCAGGGAAGCATATCTAGTGACTAAAGAGAATAAAAAGTTCTCGTTTGAAAAGACAAACTTCAATCAGTCAGTGGGACGGTTAGGTGCTAATCGGTATTCCATTACCTACGGAAAAATTGTAATAATTTATTGAAGACGTTCTTCGATAAAAAAGGAATAGGTGCAGCTATAGAAGTTCCAAAAAATACTTTGAAAAAGCTGCAATTCTGAACAACAAGGATGTGAGTCAGTGTGATTCCTCTAACGAAACAAAAATTTTCCTAACAATATTTTTAACACCATTCCTTTATAAAGTTTAGATAATTCCATAAGGTCCAGTAACTACGAGAAGAATCAAAATGCTGTTTCAAATTGCGATGTAAATAAATCAACCATCTTTTTAGTATGGTTGAACGTCAAAGTGTTACAGAGAAGACTTCCTTCTGTCAACTGCCAGCACTTACATTGAAACAGCTTTAAGAAATTATTTTAAAGACAACTTTGAGCAAAAACCCGGATGACAAAGAGAAAATAGATAAGAAAAGAAAAAAATTATAATGAGAAAATGCTTTCTTCCCCACTGACAAGAACTGAGCACTCCAGGGTTAATATAAGTATACGCTGGAACCCTAAAGTCCTTTAAATCTCAGAGTGCTACAGTGTAAGGTGACAATCGTTCCTTCCTCTGTAATACGTCTATTTACTTTCTAGCCCCACTTCTGCGTATTTCAAAGGTTAACAGATGTTATGCTTCAACCCTAATAAACAAATTAATTTTGAGATACTTGGGACTGGCTGTCGGCGAGGCTTGGGCCGCAGCAAGAGCAGATAATCTTCTTGAGCTTGATGCAGGTTTTAAAGCAGAATTACTATTCAATGTCTTTGAAGTATCTTTTCTATCATTTCCAGAAACGCGCAAATTCTCTATTTCAGGTAAGACGGGTTGAAAAGATTCAGTATTACGAGGCCGTGATGCTGTGGATGAAGCATTCTACAAATAAAAAAATAACTAAACCAGGTTTCACAAAGAAACGTTATCAAAACTACAAATCGTATCATAGAACAATTAGAAAATCCTCTTAAACATTTTATTATGAAAAAGTGTGGAGGTTTAGTCACTTACCTGAATTACAGCAGCTTGTTTTTGAGAAGTTTTTTTCGGTGTGATTTGTTGTGCAGATTTCTCATCTGGAACGGTGACAGAAGACGACGGAGAAGTTGGTTCTTGAAGAGGAATATCTGCATGAGATGGCTCCTCTTAAGAAGAAAACAAACAATTAATCATCAACAGTAGCACTCAAGGTTAGGTAAGATTTTACCATTTTTATAATCTTCTTCGTCTGCCTCTTCTAAATAAAACTGAGTTTCGTGCCAGTCTCCTTTCCCTTCATCTTTTTTCTCCTCAGCAAAACTGCCGTTGAAACCATAGTTTTTCACTTGTGATTCCTCAACGCGGGTTTGTAACGGTTCTCCAAAATTAGGCCGGTGATATAAAAATTTTGCTGAAACAATATTCTTCATTTGTTAGAAATACCACGAACCTTGGACAAACCAATGAACAAAATCGAACCCGTCCCAGGCGAGGGAGGAATTTCATCATCTAAAGACGTGCCAAAGGGATGAGAGTAATCATAATCTTCGTCGTCCAATTCTGAAAACTAATAATCTAAAAGATGCAAAAAAAAAGTTAAAACAACAAAACATCTGATAAATTCTGTTCTGAAAGAAGCTTTTGCTATAGGTAATAAAAGAGATAGAGCGATTCATTACTGGCATGCCTAAACAATCCCAACTTTGAATGATGAAGGACCATCCTTGAAACACAAAACGTGCCTTACACCTTAAAGATATAGAAACTTCTCAACTAGAAAAGTATAACACAAACAACGGAATAACTACAAACCATCATCAATGTCGATATTCCTAATATTTCTGTGCCGAGCCATGAGTACGACAATGCTACTTTCCCAGCAGCCCGTTCACACAAAAACGCTCAGATCATTCATTAAAAAGCCAGTTCTAAAACATGAAACTTAGTGACAATGAACTTTCTCTAAAAACTTATCATCAGTTGAAACCAACATCTCGGGATGTCAACAGATATTTATAAAATAACGTCCCGTCGTGCTTTCAAAGCGAAAAGACTACAAATATCAATTTTATTAAATCTAAACTTAAAATGAGCAGAATAGAACGAATCAAAACTGCAATTCCACCAAACCTATATTTAAAATTGGTAAACAGCCAACGAAACAATTCAAATAAAAAGATACTATAAAAGCTGAACTAAAAGTGAAATTAAAACAGAAAAATATCTCACGGTCTTCAACTGCAGAGAATTAGTCGTTAACAACACTTCTGTAAAGTAATATCGTGGTGCACGAGCATCATAATTTGATAAACATTTCATAAATCACAGTAGGTTTGTTTCAACAAACAGGCAAACAGGGAAAATGAAAAATAATTTGAGTAAATTAACAATGCCAAAATACCATTCAAACATAAATATAACCTATAAAATAGATAACTACTAAATCTCACTATGAAAAACAAGTTCTCAAGTGGCGGTAGAAAACGCTAAAAATTTACTTCACGCTAGAGGAACTGGTGTAATTGTCACAAAAGCGGCATACGTCAGCCCGCAGCTTATATTCTTGCAAGAAAGCCGTAGTCAAAAGTGGCCATACAATTATATAGAACTACACTACTCTGACAGAGAATACAGGAACTACAAAAAGAACTTCTTTAGAGAGAAAAAAAGGAAACCAGCGCCCACCCACTAACCTGCGACACTAAGTTTAAAAATATTATTAAGTATCTTTTTTCCGTCCTGCAAGTCTCAAAAGCTTCATTGAAAGACAGTAATGCATCTATTTTAAAAAATAAGAGTAGTTATATCTTAAAAAGTATTTTTATTTTTTAAAGCAAAGCTCCCTATATTAAAGTCAAGCAGTTACCAAAAACAAAGATCAAAAATTTGATCAAGTGATTTAGTAATAGGGGATTTAAACTAAGGTTTAACATCAAACAAGTGTTCCAGAGGACGGGAAAAAAATTTGTCTAGAATCTTTTGGGCGACTAGCACCGCTCACTGAGGCGGGGCGCGAGCTGAGAGAACCAGAGTAACGACGTCCTAATTGTGGCAGAACCTAGAAATACATCAATATAAACAAAACACACTGAAAAAAAATGTGCATTTGCCAAGAACTGTTTAGGTCTAGTCTATAATTATAGTTAAAAATGCACAACAAACCGGAAAAGTTGCGTTTAGGTCAACTTTAAATGACGATACAGAGTCAGCGCGAGAAATCCAGAACATTTCATTATGAGCAAAGTCCAAATCAGTTGCTTCCAAATACGGGAAAAAGGAGCAAATCTTAAAAGCATTTTTGCGTTACAGTAGAGAAAAGCTTGCTATTTTTACAATTTAATACTCAGACTGCACTAACCTTTTTCGGATCAAGTGCTGGATTTAACCGTTGGCGCCATACAACAGATTCACATGAAGGCACCAACGAAGGAACATTAGCAAGAATCGCACTCACTGTTAAATCCCGTGCTACCGCTCCACCTTCCTAAACACAGATTTTCTGTACCGTGTTTTAATACAATCAAAAAAAAATTAGCCAAATATATTTAAAATAATGTAATTTTTCTAACAAATAGGAGACCAGAAAATGACGTTTACCTGGATACTGGCAGGAGAAACCCACCGTAAATAGCATTCTGACCAAAACTCAACGTCGAAGGGATTTGCTGATGGCTGAATTACTCCAGGTAAACAATCTGAAAGCCAAAAGCTGCACAGTGTAACATAAAGAACCACTATAACGAGTCATTCAAGAAGTTATGCAAAATTTATAAAGACCATATCCTGAAGCATCACGATTAGAAATGTTTGCTTTCAAATACAAAATTAGTGAAAGAAAACAGAAGCAACCAAGATTAATTAATGACAAACCAATTTCAAGCAGCTGACTAGCAGAATATAACACGTTCGTAAACATTAAACAATACTTTGAAGAATAATATTTAGAAAGAGGAAAAACCGAAACATTTCTTTCTAAAGCAATCTGATCATTAACCGAATTGCACACCAGTGCCCTAAAAAATTTTTTTAAATTGCATAACGAAATGGAAGAGAGTAGTTGTCTAACATGTTATAATATTAGAAAGTGCACAAATATTATGAAATTGGTACTAACGGAGCAAGACCCATCAAGCAGAGATCCCAGAGAGCGATCAACATATACTGTGAGTATTCAAACGAGGCAGGATATAAACGAAGAAGTTGGTATAAACAGTCCAGAAAAACCAGGAAAGTGGCAGTACAAGAACGCGAGGACTTAAATAAAATTGTTGTTCCAAAATAGCAGTGAAAAAACTGCCAAAAGCATAAACTATGAAAAAAGAAAATTTTAGCTTCTCGAGACAAACAAGTGTAAAAAGTATCAGTTCGATAAATATACAATGCCTAGGAAATACTAGAAGTCGTAATTCCTTTTAGAAGACTTTATCTTGGAATAAATGTTAATAAAATAGTCAGGACTTCAGTTGCCCAAAACTAAGATATAAAAAGAGAAAGCCGAAAGCTAATAAAAGTTGAGAAATCAACTACGAAACCTTTCAAACTTATATACGTATCTGATAGATATACGCCTCAATCGAGAAGGTGAAAAAAGGGTAATGTTAAATCTGTCAACTAACGAGGATTTATTCCAAATCCAAAAAAATTATAAATCCCTCATCTTCTGCAATTAAATAGTACTCCTAGTGGCAAATAAAATGGTATTCTCACGTATAATGGTCCCTCATTTAGGAAAACAACTAATTAAAATTTATAAAAAAAAATCAAAAATTTAAGCTTTATAGTCGTGTGCAGTAAAACTCACAGATAACCGAAGTTTTACTGCACACGACTATAAAGCTCAGGAATCAATCTCTTAGCCCTTAAAAGTGCTGTTAATCAGCGAGATACGTCTCATTTGGTGTCCACCGCTGCGCCACTTCGTTTGGCAAACTCAATTTCTAAAACAGGTTCGAATGGATAGATTCTGCTTGAAAAATCTAATTGCTGTGAAACTGTCTTTGAATAACTGCTTGAAACTAATTTTTAACGAAATCTTCAGTTTGCTGCAAATGGACTTTTTTACCATTTTCAAACGCTTAATTGATCCTGAAGTTTCCAGACTGCATAAACAAACAAATATATTTTTTCTGCCGATAAGATTCCTTCCAAACACTTATCAACTTCCCTAGCAACCTTCAGAAGCCATTACTTCATCATTCTCACTAAAAAAATTTAAGATGATCACAAAATAAAACCCATTATGACAGTTAGAGCTTTTTAATATCTAATCGAATTTGATAAGCAAAATTAAAGATTGCAAAAAAAAAAAAAAAAAAAAAAAAAAAAAAA